ACTGTTCAGCATTCACTTTGCGAAACGGAAAGCTAGGGAAGGCGGAGCATAAGTGAGGGAAGAGCAAAAGGGTTTTAAATGGACTTACGCATTATTAACGCGTTTTCTGATTTGTTTTTCGAAAGAAAAGAGGTCAATATCCGGCTCAATTAAGACATAATTCCCTCGAGTGAGGCTCCGCTGACACACCGGACATGCGCCCTTGGCATTTGTTGATATTACGCCTGTTGTTCCTCCTCCAAATTGTTGTTGAAGACAATTTTCACAAAGTCGATGAGGGCAGACGTCAGAAGAAAACAACTTCTTATCAGCGCAATAGCAGCAATTCGTACAGCACACCGAACACTCGTACTGCTCCATCGTGCAGCTTCCCCAGCAGAAGACGCATCTCCAGAAGTTTTTCTGCTGTATATACACAACAAAATAAGCTGGAAAGTCAACCGCTTTTCAGTGTATCTTTCGGCCTACGTAAATTAGTTGCGTTGGTGTTGTGCAAGGGAGAAGAAGGAAACAAAAAAAAAGAAAGAGAACACCGCTAGCAGCGTACTGCCGCTGCGCTCTGTCCCATTTCTTGAATTAGAAATCACATTTCCTTTTGAAATATATCAACGTCAAAACAAATAAAGAGATATTTGCAATTTAAACTCAAGTTGGTCGTTCCCGTAGACGAAGACCGCATGCATGCATGCAGCACCTGGTGGCGCGTTCATTATAAACCAGGTAACGACAGTGTTAGTTTAATTGGCCTGTATAATTAAACTAAATAAATTAAAACTCCAATTTATTTGTTTCTGTACATCAAATAACTCCCCTAAACATCATACGGCTTCTGACTTCTTGCTGCCTCGCTGACATCCACCGTATTTTGTCTTCTTTTTCTTCTATTTCAACTAGAATGCATTTCTTTGTTCGCTTTAAATGCCAAACTTGAATCAAAAAAGTCTAAAGGCACCCCACAACCAACCCCACGGCGCCCAGCGGCTGAGCGCCGTGCAGGTAGCTTTTCAACATGCGTTAAAGCCTGGGGAGAGGCTTCCTGCTGCGCTGCTGTGCAGCGAAGCAGCAGTTTAATAGAAGAAAGGTAGAGAAAGAGAGCGTCATAAAAAGACATAGCATAATAACACAACGCCCTTCTCTCCCCTTCTTCTTCTATCCCCACCACATGCGTTTTATTTGAATCCGTACTTCTTCTCTACTGTTAATATTCTTTATTATAAAAGTGTATTTTAAAGAACCCTCATGCATGCATAGAACTGTCTAAATGTCTTCGCTAGCAGCCAGGCACACACAGAAATACACTGCAAGACACATGCCATCGACAGACATGCATCTCTGCTGCAGCTGCTGCAGTTGATGCAGCTGCTGCATCGCTTTTTGCTGTTCTTTTTCTGTTACTCCGATTCTTTCCCTTGTAATGTAAGGCAGACAGACAGACTAACGAGAGATGCAGAAGGCGACTGCCTCACACCCACTAGAGCAGCTGCTGCTGTTGCTGCAGCACCAGGCCTTCCAACAGCAGCAGCAGCAGCAGCAGGTCTTGCTGCGTTTAGTGAAGGTACACTAGTGCTTCATCATTAATTGTTGAGTACAGAGGCAGCTGAGAGGTGGTTGAGAGGCCCTCCTCCTCTACAGCCGGAGGCGTGCCTGCAGTGCTGCCGGTTGAAGGCGACAGCCAGACTTCGTCTTCTTGTTGCTTGGAGAAAGCAAAAGGGAGAGAAGAAACACCAGGAGGAACGTCGCTTGCATCTTCGCTTCCTGCTGCTGCTGTTGCGGCTGCTGGTTCTGCTGCCGTTGCTTCGCTCTCGGCCCAGCTGACGCGCTTGGGGGTGCGCGAACCTCCCCTACGGACAGCAACACAGGGCAGCGGCTTTTGCTGCTGCTGCTGTTCCTGCTGCTGCTGCTGCTGGTCTTGCTGCTGCTGCTCTTGCTGCTCTTGCTGTTGCTGCTCTTGCTGCTGCTGCTCTTGCTGCTGCATGTTTTGTTGCTGTTGCTGCGCTTCAGCAACAGCGGAGCTGCCAAGGATACTCTCAGCCACTGGCGCCGCTGCATCATTGCAAGCATCAGCCGCTCCTGCAAGAGCAGCGCCAGCAACAGCATCAACAGCAGCGGCAGCTGCAGCAGCAGCAGCAGCAGCAGGGCGGCGAGACACCCCAGGGCGAATCGTTACCAGCAGCGGATCAGGAGGCCCAGCAAATATACCTGGGGCTACTGCTGCAGTATTGTAAGAAAAAGGACGCACGCGGGGGGCTCTAAGTTGCGGCTGCTGCATCAGCAGCTGCTGCTGCTGCTGCTGCTGACGCCACAGCTGCTGCTGCTGCGCCTCAAGAAGCTCCTGCTGGTACTTCAGCAGGAGCTGCTGCTGCTGCAGCTGCTGCTGCAGCGCTTCCGTAGACATAAGCAGCTGTTGGGGCCCTAGCTGCTGCTGACTCTCCCCTTGAAGGCAACTTGGAAGTTGGCAAGTTTGCTGCTGCTGCGGTGGCTGCTGCTGCTGCTGCGGTGGCTGCTGCTGTGGTGGCTGCTGCTGCTGCAGCACGTAGTATTCGCCGCAGTTGAGAGGCACTGAAGTGCCTGCCCCGTGTTGTTGCTGCTGCTGCTGCTGCTGTACGGGATAGGCCCAAGGAAAAGTAGCAGAAGCAACGTAGCTGTCTGTGGCATTCGAAGCCACCTGCAGCGGAACCTCGCCGTGCAGCAGCAGCACTTGCTGCTGCTGCTGCTGCTGCTGCTGTTCACAGACGGACGCAGAGACAGGCAGCGACTCCGGGGGAGTTTGTTGCTGCTCTTGCTGTTGCTTTTGCTGCTGCTGCTGCTGAGGTGGCTCAGGAAGGTCTGCCTGCGCCCCCTTGAAAGAGCAGCAGTCTCCTGAATCCATTCGCTGCTGCATTTCGTTTCGCTGCAGTTGCTCCAGCTCCTCTTGCTGCTGCTTGTGTTGCTGCTGCTGCTGCTGTTGCTGCTCTGTTGGGCCGTCTACGGGAGCTTCACTGATTGAAAAAGGGGAATAGACAGAGGTAGCAGTGCTGGCGCTGGGGCTTGGGGTGCCGCAAGGCATAGACTGCGCGCTACGCTGCTGCTGCTGCTGCTGCTGCTGCTGCTGCTCCGTTTCTTGCTGCTTCTGCTGCTGCTCTTCTTGCTGCTGCTGTCGTTGCTGCTGCTGGAGATGTTCCGTTTCGATGGAGTCGTCCTCCTCTACATATGCGGGTGTCTGTACACCGGCATCCTCCGTGCGTGTGGCAGCTTCGTTTGCGCTGCTGCTGCTCGTGTTGCTGCTGCTTCTGGTTTTGCTGATGCCGTTGCTGAAGCTCCAGTGTCTCTGCAGCTCGTCTACTGTGCATTCTTCGCTGCTGCGGATGAATGTGCTGGTGCCCACGTCAGGCTGTGCAGTGATGGTGGTTATGGTGGTGATCTGGGTTGTTCTTCTTTCGAGCAGCATTACTTCTTCTGCAGCTTGGCTAGTGCTTTTGCCTGCCTTCGGAGTGCTGCTGCTGCTTCTGCTGCTGCTGCTGCTGTTGCTGCTGCGGCTGCTGCCCGCTGTGCCGCCAGCTCCCACGTACCCCCGTGAGGAACTGAAGTCCTCCGTGCCTGGCCAGCTGTCGTTGTCGTTGTTGTTGCTGCTGCTGCTGCTCTCGCTGCTGCAGTGCTCTTCAGCAGCAAATGAAGGATATGGAGGAGGGCAAGTGGAACGCTGTTTGCTGCTGCTGCTGCCGCTGCTGCTTTGCTCTTTCCTGCACTTGCTGCTCTGCAGCAAGGGGGAGTCCTCACGCTTCCTATTGCCATGCCGCATGCGTTCATCCTGTGTCCGTGCTGCTGCTGCTGCTGCGGCAGCAGCAGCAGCGGCAGCCACTGCTGCTGCTGCGCCCTCCTCTTCGCTAAAGAACTCCTGACCGCGGCCTTCACGCGACCTCGCTGCTGCAGCAACTGCTGCTGCTGCTGCTGTTGCTGCTGCCGCTGCTCTCGCTGCTGTGGCTGCTGCTGTAGTGTCCTGAGTGCTGCTTTTGCTGTAGCTGCTGCGGTGCGGCATTCCACTGGGCCCAGCGCGCTGTTGCGTCCGACCTCGGGCAGCGCTGTACTGTTGCTGCCGCTGCTTCTGCTGCTGCTTCTGCTGCTGCTGCTCTGCTTGTTGCTGCTGCTCTGTCGCTTGGCAATCCTCGTACTTCTGGCCGCTATCACAACCTACAGCAGCAGCCGCAGCAGCCGCTGCAGCGACAGCTGCAGCAGCTGCAGCAGCAGCGCACTGTGTTGTGCCAGACCTTCGTGGTTTTGCTGCTGATGTTGTTGGCAGCAGGCGCCTCAAGAACTGCTCAACAGAATGAGAACGATTTCTCGGGCGTTCTGCTGCTGGCCGTGGTGCCTCCCCCGCTGCTACTGCTGCTGCAGCAGCAGCAGCAGCTGCTGCTGCTGCTGCTCCTTGGTCACCTTCTTGATAAGAATAGGGATTTTCTCCTTCCGCCTTTTGATGAGCGCTGGCCGGCCCGATGAATTTCCTGAAAAGTTCGCCAACGCGGCGCAAACTGGGAGATCGCCCTCGTGCCCCTCCTCTACTGTCTTGCTGCTGCTGCTGCTGATGCTGCTGTTGCTGCTGCTGCGGCTGCTGCTGGTTGTGTTGCGAATATGGGTGGGGCCTGTCTTGTGTTAGTGTTGCGTAGAGTTTGGTGCCCCAGGGCCTCTTCGTGGTAGAGGGGTTTGGGGTTGACATCTCGGAAGGAGAAAGGCAGATCGATTGAGGAGATATCTGAAGGATTTAGAAAGATTAATTAAATATATTTCTTTTCCTGCATGCAAGGACGGGCGGTCTCCGGCTGACAAGAGAGAGCCTCGTGAGGTGTCAGGAGAAGTTAGAAGGAGAAATAAGTCATTCGAGATGCTTTTTCTACTGCATTTAAACTTAAACGAAATAAAAGTAAAAGGCAACAACCATCAGTGGTCCACTGGTCTGTCAGGGAGCGGATGCGGCGGTGACCACTGGACCCCGAATATGCACAAGTGCAGCTGCTTGGGGTGCGTAATAAACTTAAAAATAAATAAATTCGAGGGAAATAAAACGAAAAAACTCAAACTTTGCTAAAGGATGGAGACGAAACTTTCAGAGTGTTGAAGCCGCTAAACAGTCGCGCCCACGGCTGGGAGGCGCACCAACAACCCCACGCGGTGTATTGTGTTAATCGGGAGCTATAAACAATAACTAGCAATTCATTTTAATTAAACAAATTAATTAAGTGTTTAGAATTTATTCTCTGTTAATAACGCTGATTTTATTCACTGAAACATACTCGCAATTCGCGAGAACCACCGTGCAGGTATGGTCACTCAGCTGTACTGCAGCACCAGTAAGCTGTCCCTATATTTATCATGAATTCTATATTAGATTTTTATGTTTGTTTACTTTTAATCTAATATTTTAAAAGAAGAAAAATTGCATGAAGTAGCCAACAGGGGTAGCGGCAGGGAGGAGTGTGCTCTGGACGGGGTGATTATGAAGCTGTATCTCCACAGACACTGCAACAAAAAGAAAATCATTTGAATCCTCTTTCATCCTTTTTACTCTTTTGCGACTCTTTTCTTTTCTTTTGCATGAATCAAGGAAGACAGAAAGTGTTATTATCTCGCCTCTGCGATTTCAATTGTGCTTGTATGAAGTTTAGCTTTGTTGTATGCCGACGAAGAAACCTTTGACTGAATTCTGAAACAAAAGTCACTCCCCCTAATTATAATATGCAATTAAAAATGCAGGAAAATTAAATAAATTGATACATTTATTCAAAATAATGAAATAGAAACAGGTCCTACTGGGATTTGAACCCAGGTCGGCGGATTCAGAGTCCGCAGTGCTAACCACTACACCATAGAACCGTCGATTGGGCGCTTCCTTTTTTTTCGCACATCTTTAAGTTGATTATTTTAATAGAATTATGGGGTGATTATGAAGCTGTATCTCCACAGACACTGCAACAAAAAGAAAATCATTTGAATCCTCTTTCATCCTTTTTACTCTTTTGCGACTCTTTTCTTTTCTTTTGCATGAATCAAGGAAGACAGAAAGTGTTATTATCTCGCCTCTGCGATTTCAATTGTGCTTGTATGAAGTTTAGCTTTGTTGTATGCCGACGAAGAAACCTTTGACTGAATTCTGAAACAAAAGTCACTCCCCCTAATTATAATATGCAATTAAAAATGCAGGAAAATTAAATAAATTGATACATTTATTCAAAATAATGAAATAGAAACAGGTCCTACTGGGATTTGAACCCAGGTCGGCGGATTCAGAGTCCGCAGTGCTAACCACTACACCATAGAACCGTCGATTGGGCGCTTCCTTTTTTTTCGCACATCTTTAAGTTGATTATTTTAATAGAATTATTCCTTTAAATTAAAATAAATGGTTTTGTTTTTATATTGCAGTTTATGCTTGCTTTGTTTTTCCTGTAATTTCTTCTTACATCCAAAAACCAGAAAAAAACAACTTGCGATATAGACACTGCATCGCCTCTGAAATATTCAAAATCTCAGGGTTTTTTCTTAGCTTTTTTCGCTGTCTTTTATTTCTATGAAATAAAATGCATGCAAATTCTTTTTGTTCAATTTCTTGAATTAATTAAAACGAGAAAATATTAACGAAGTGGTGTAAAGCGGTGGCTGACGGTTCTATGGTGTAGTGGTTAGCACTGCGGACTCTGAATCCGCCGACCTGGGTTCAAATCCCAGTAGGACCTGTTTCCGCTTCTTTTAAGCTTTTATTATCGTTATGTTCTGTTCTTGCTCCGTATTCTTTTACTTGTTTTATTATAATTGTCTATATTGTGGTTTTCTTCTGTCTATTTGGGTTTGTTTTTTCTCATGATTTGGTGTCTGTAGTGGATCCTCGCTGTTTGCTGTCTTCATATAATATTTACTCTTGCTTGGTATCCGCAGGCTTATCGGCTGACTTCTTTATGAATAAGACTTCTTCTTTATTTTGCTGTTTCTTTTGTTCAGTGATCAATGCCCCGCCGCAGCAATTCTCCCCTTACCTTCAATTCAATGCAGTTTTATAACTCCTTTCTATAAACCGGGGACAGACGGTCTTGACTGGAGACAGACTCAATTAGACAGTCTCTGTTAGAGACATCTTCTGCTGCAAACAATCTCTCTTAAAGACAGCATCTGCTAAACGACAGCCACTCTTAGACACAGTAATTATTAGGAACAGTCTCTATTAGAGGCATACTCCATCAGAGACATTTTCTATTAGAGACATTTTCTATTGGAGACAGATTCTATTAGGGACAATCTCTATTAGATACAAACTCTCTTACCAACTAACTGCTTCTAATAGAGACACTCTCTCCTAAAGGCAGCCCTTCTTAGAGACAGTCTCTGCTAGAGACAGTCTCTGCTAGAGACAGTCTTTGTTAGCAACAGCCTCTGTTAGAGATAGTCTCTGTTAGAAGCAATTTCCGTTTAAAGAGAGGGAAGGAGAGGAAGGGGGTGGGGCCGGGCCCCTTTGGGGGCTTTTTCTTGAATTGGTCAAGGGTGCACCAGCAGCAGCAGCAACAAATGAAGCGCAGCAGCAGCAGCAGCAGCGCAGCTGCAGCGAATGAAGTGCAGCAGCAGCACAACAGCAACAAATGAAGAGCAACAGCACCAGAGCAGCAGCAAATGAAAAGCAGCAACAGATAAACAGCAGCAGCAGCAGTTAACTCGACAAGCGCAGTTTATGTTTAAACTCCTTTTTCTGTCTCTGTCTCTGTCTCTTTTTATCTTCATTTCAATGTCTGCAAATTTCTTCCTTCGTTGCCTGCATGCCTTCTTACTAACAGCCAAACCTGTTGAGCCCTTTGCTACCGTCTTTATATATATATATATATATATGTATATATATATATATATATATATATATGTTAGATAAATATAAATAATAAGGATGCTGAGAGCCTGAAAAAGCAGCAAAAAAAGCAGAGTTCATCAAAAAAATTCTTTTCAAATTTTTTTATCTCCTGCTGATTTCCTTTCACTCTCGCGCCACCTGCACGACTTTCTTTAGCTGCAGCTAGCTAGCGCTGACTAGCTAGCCACAGCTAGCTAGCCACAGCTAGCTAGCCACAGATAGCTAGCCACAGCGAGCTAGCCGCAGCTAGCTAGCGGGATATCTCTCGCGTGATGGTGTTACTGCTGCAGCTTGCTGCAGCAGTAACGGAACAGCTCTGTAAAGGCTTCTACAGGAAAGATAGGGGTTTTGAAATGAACTAGGGTTTAGGATTCAGCGTTTAGGGTTTAGGATTTGTTAGCAGCATCAGAGAACGCAGAATACTTGCTGGGGGATTAGGGATTAGGGTTTAGGGTTTAGGGTTTGGGGTTTAAATTATATAACCGCTTGAGCCCCAGATGAGTCCACCGCTCAAAGCATCCCTAGCATTATAGGGGTATATTTATTAATGTTTACGTTTTGTGCATGCAGCAGTTTTATTGGTTTTTATTTTCAAGCAGAAAAAAAAGCAGAAAAATATCAATCGGCGCCCCACAGCAACAAAAGAATAAATGGAGGGAGCGAGCGTCTGTCTGCTGTACGTACACCTGCAATTGCATATTTGGTTTTAAAATATCATTAAAAATATTCAAATCAAACATTAATTCTGAGGAGCAAACCCTTCCAACTCCAAGCAATACGATGGACAGACCAGCAGCAACAGCAGCAGCAGCAGCAGCAGCAGCAGCAGCGGCGGCGGCTGCGTATAGGGCCGATGGGGGCTTTTTCTTTAGCTGCTGCTCCGTAGAATTAATATTTAAAGGATTAATTTAATTAAATTTATTTAAATTGTTTTAAAATCCAAACAATAGAGCGCAGAAAGGCAGCAGGAGACACAGCGCAGCATATTGTCGTCAGCAGCAGCACAGCTGCAGAGCTTTGGCTGTTCTCTTAACTCAAACGCCCCTTTCTTTTTATGTTTCTGCAACAATTAGTTAAAATTTTATTCATTTTGTCTCATTTTAATGGCATATAAGGCTGGAAGCAGGGGGGCGCAGCAGCAAGCAGCAGCAGCAGCAGCAGCAGCAGCAGCAGCGGGAACCGCAGCCGACTCCTCTACTCCCCAGGTTGTTGAGGTGTGTGTACACCCCACGCCAACAGCAGCAAAATCTCTCCTTCTCTTCTTCTGTGCTTTGTCCTCTACTGCATTCCGCCGCTGAACCAACGAAGGCGTCAGCAGCAGCAACAGCTGCTGCTGCTGCAGCTGTAGCATTGCTGCTGCTGCTCCTGCAGCTGTTGCGGCTACTCCTTCCGGGCAACCGCAAGGGTGCAAAGCAGCGCTAACATTCTGAGGCTGCTTCTGGGGGCTTGGAGATCACTGCGGCGCGACAACAACACCAGCACCAAGCAGCAGGAGTGCCGTCGGCAGCAGCAGCAGCAGCAGCAGCAGAAGCAGCAGCAGCAACAGCAACAGCTGCTGCTGCCGCTGCTTCTCTAGCAAGCTTCCACGTATTCATTTGGTCCCTATGATGCCCCAAATTGAGGACTCAATGCGACAGCAGCTGCTGCTGCAGGGGCAGCAGCAGCAGCAGCAGCAACCGCAACACCAGCAGCAACAAACCCTCTCCATGCAGCCTCACACACTCTCCCACCCAATCCGGAAGGAGCAGCAGCAGCAGCAGCAGCAGCAGCAGCAACGCTTTGAACAGCACCATGGGTTTTCCAACTTGCAGCAGCAGGTCGCTCCCCAGGGGCTCCAGGCGGGCCAGCAGCAGCAGCAGCAGCAGCAGCAGCAGCAGCAGCAAGAGCAACAACAACAGCAGCAGCAGTGGCAGGGAATGCTGCGAAACACCGGGATCCTGGAGGCTTCTGTGCTGCAGCAGCAAAAGGCATCGGCGCTGCAGCAGCAGCAGCAGCTGCAGTTGCAGGCCTGTACCTCTCTTTGGGCGAAGCAGCAGCGGCTGCAGCAGCAGCAACTGCAACAACAGCAGCAGCAGCAGCAGCAGAATGAATCCACCCTTTTAGAGCTAAGAGAGACTAAGGGCGGCGCTGCAGTGCCCGTCGGTGTTACTTCTGGATGCAGCAGCAGCAACAGCAACAGCAGCAGCAGCACAGACAGCAGCAGCAATAACGCGGGTGGAGCATCTGCGTTTTTTCATAACAGCAGTAGCAGCAGCAGCAGCAGCAACAGCAACATCAGTAGCAGAAGCTTGCCCTCGTCTCCTCTGCAGCAAAGGGGGTCTCTGCGGCTGCAGCTCTCCCCAATGTTGCTGCAACAGCAGCAGCAGCAACCGTCTCATTCCCCTGGAAACGAGCAGCAGCAGCAACAACAGCAACAGCAGCAGCAACAAAAGCTGCTGCAGCAACTCTCGCACTACCGCCAGGCCCCCCCCTTCGTTCGCCGCGCTTCTACTGGCCTTCGGAAGTTCACTCCAAACAACAGCAGCAGCAGCAACAGCAGCAACAGCAACGACAGCAGCAGCAGGGACAGCAGCAGCGACATCGGTACCTGCGGCAGCAGCCGGGGCAGAGGAAGCAGCACCAACTCCAGGCGTCTGCCTGAACTTCCGCAGTTGCTGCAGCCTCCTCCAGTGCTGCAGCAAAACTTGTGGCAGCAGCAGCAACAGCAGCAGAGCCTGCTTAGCGGCAGCAGCAAACAGGGAACCTTTTCTCCTACCTTTGAGGCAACCACACCCAACAGCAACAGATGCTCTGCGGCAGCAGCGAATTCACCAGCAGCAGCGGCAACGCTAGCAGCAACAACAGCAGCAGCACCAGCAACAGCAACAGCAGCAACAGCAGCGGCAGCAGCAGCAACAGCAGCAACTGGGGTGCCCCAGATCGATTGCAAACCCACCCTAGCAAACGCGGCACTTCCTGCTCCTGCTGCTGCAGTGGAGCAGCAGCAGCAGCAGCTGCTGCTGCTGCTTCAACAGCGTCAGCAGCAGCTGCAACAGCAACAGCAGCAGCAGCAGCAGAAGCAGCTGCAGCTGCAGCTGCAGCAGCAGTCGCCGCAGCAACGGATTCACGTTGCTTCGTCGCATGAGGCATTGTTAGAGGAAGTAGCAGCAGTTGAGGCTGTTGCAGCAGCAGCAGCTGCTGCAGCAGTTGACGCTGCTGCTGCTGCCAGGATGCGTGACTTTGCTGCGGCAAGGAACAGCAGAATATCTGCTGCTTGCGTCGGCCCAAGGTCGCCCAAGCAGCAGCAGCAGCAGCAGCTACTGCAGCAGCTGCAGCAGCTGCAGCTGGAAGCAATCGAAGCAGCAGCAGCAGCAGAACAGCAGCAAATGCAGCAAATGCTACCGGCTGTCTCCTTGACGCGCCTTCGTGAAGCGGCTGAGGGCAGCAGCAGCAGCAACAGCAGCAACAGCAACAGCAACAGCAACAACAACAGCGACAGCAGCTGCAACAAGAGCAGTAGCAGCAGCAGCAACAGCAGCAGCCCAAGCCTCTGCGTAAAGGATAGCAGCACTGAATGCACTTGGGCCAGCAGCAGCAGCAGCGACAGTGAGCCTGAACGGGCAGCCAACCCCAGCAGCAGCGGCAATGACAACAGCAGCAGCAGCAACAGCAGCAGCAGCAACAGCAGCAGCAGCAACAGTAGCAGCATCCCCCGAGTTGAAGAACTCCAAACAAATGCAAATTCGGATGAAGACAGCAACTTTAAGTGGCATGGGAACCACACAAGCAGCAGCAGCAGCAGCATCAGCAGCAGCGGCAACAGCAGCAACAGCAATTACGACAACCTGAGCAGCAGCAGCAGGAAGAGAAGCGACAGCAGGAACAGAAGCGACAGCAGCAACACCACTACCGACAGCAGCAATAACATCAACAGCAACATCAGCAACAACAGCAGCAGCATCAGCAGCAACGGCGCAGCAACCCCACAGCAGCAGCAAAAGGCTTTCAGTTGTGGAGAGGAATCCGAGAAGATATTTCGTTTGGTTAGAGAGGGGGCGGCACATAAAGGGGGTGCACAGGCAGCAGCAACAGCAGCAGCAACAGCAGCAGCAACAACAGCACCAGCAACAACAGCACCAACTGCAGCAGCAGCAACAGCGACTACGAGCCCAAAAGCAGCAGCAGTAGCAGCAGCAGCAATAGCAGCAACAACAGCAGCAACAGAGTCAGCAGCAGCAGCAGCAGCCTCACCAACGGTAGCAGCAGCAAGATATCCTGCTGGTGCTGCTAGCAGTACTGTAAACGAATTCTACGAGCCCCAACCAGCTGCAGCAGCAGCGTCAGCAGCAGCAGCACGATCAGCAACAGCAGCAGCAGCAACAACAGCAAGTGAAGCAGCAGAAGCAATGCCAGCAGCAACAGCGACACCGGCAGCATGCAAAAACAGCATTGCAGGGCTGGATCCAGCAGCAGCATCAGCAGCAGCAGCAACAGCAGCAGCAGCAAGGCCAGCAGCAGCAGCAGCAACAGCAATGGCCACTACTGCCGCAGCTGCAGCACGAGCAACATGTGCTGGTGCTGCTTCTTCTTCTGCTAGTGCAGCAGCATATGATGAAGCACATAGCTCTGCTGCTGCTGCTGAGGCTGCAGCAAGTTTGCCGAGCTGTACATACACCTCAAACGAAGACTTCTTGTCCTTAGACAAATGGATGAAGCTGCTGCCCTCCAGCGAAGCTGAAGTCGCAGCAGCAGAAAAGGCCGTGGCTCTAGTGCAGCAGCAGCAGCAGCAACAGCAGCAACAGCAACAGCAGCAGCAGCAGCAGCAGCAACAAGGTGCCCCAAGAGAAGTACCAGAAGAGACTGAAGATGCAGCAGAGGTATGAGACATACGAAAACTAGTTGCTGCATATGTTGTTGCTGCTGCTGTTATTGTTGCTGCTGTTGTTGCTGCTGCTGTGGTTGATGTTGCTGCTGCTGCTGCCTGGAAGCTTTACTTTTTCACTGCTGTTGCTGCAGCAGCAGCATCTGTTCCTACAGCTGCAAATATTGCAGCAGGGCTTGGTGCAGCAGCAACTGCATGCAGCACCAGGATGCCTTAAGATACTGCGAAGCTCTAAGCAAGCATGCATGCGCTGCTGCTACTGCTGTTGCTGCTGCTGTTGTTGCTGCTGCGTTTGCTGCTGCAGCAGTTACTGGACCTACACCTCATCGACGGTGATTTGCTGAGGCAGCACTGGCTGCATGCAGCAGCAGCAGCCGATGCCTTGGAGCCCCAACTGCAGCAGCAGCAGCAGCAAGAGCAACAGCAGGAGTATTCGTTGATCCTTCTGCAGCAACAGAGCTCAGAAGCCGCCAGCATGACGCCGCAGGCCTCCCCCAATACAGCAGCAGCAGCGGGAGCAGCAGCAGGAGCAGGAGCAGCAGCAGCAAAGCGGCGCGACCTTGCTGCTGCTGCGTTGCGGTGTGTGTGTGTTATGCATTCCGTCTGCTACTGGCAGGGCCTCCACGATGTTGCTGCTGCTCTTACTTTTTTGCTGCCAACGCCTTCGCTGCTGCAGCTTGTGCTGCTGCTGCGGAAGCTGCTGCAGCGGGTGGCTCCCTGGTTGCTGCTGCCACCGCAGCAGGCCCTGAACTCCTCTCGCGCTGTCAGTAAACTCTGGTGGTAAGCAACAGCAGCAGCAGCAGCAGCAGCACCAAACAGCCGCAGCATTAGAAGCGGCAAACATCAGCAGCAGCAACAGCAGCAAGCATCAGCAGCAGCAGCAAACAGCAGCAGCAGGAGAAGCAGCAAGTAGCATCTGCAGTATATCTGCACGTGTATATGTATTTGTTTGATATATTTTGGTTGTGCTGCTGCATCTTATCTATTTACAATTTCTTTTTGTGTGTGTTTGCTGCTGCAGCGAGCTGCTGCAGTTTGCTTCTCCGGGTGTATCTGCAGCTATTGAAGAATTAACAGAAGATGGTGCATGGGCGCAGCTGCCTTTAATTCATTCATTGTCCCTTGGGCGATTTGTGTCTCCTCATGCTGCTCTCCTTTCTCTAGAATCTTTCCTTCGTCTCGCAGTAAAGCTGCTGCTGCTGCTGCTGTTCCTGCTGTTGCTGCTGCTGTTGCTGCTGTTGCTGCTGCTGCTGCTGCTGTTGCTGCTGCTGCCGGGGATGCTGCGTTGGCTGCTGCTGCTGCTGTTTCTGCGGGTCTTGCTGGTGCTGCATAGGTGCATCCGCTTAGGCGCTGGCGCCAACCCGTTATATAGAGACCGGCTGCTGCTGCTTCTGCTGCTGTTGCTGCTGCTGTTGCTGCTGTTGCAGGGAGAGGAAGGCGACGCAGGGGTTTGTTATTTGTATTTTATTTTATCTTACATCTGCACACACAGCCGCGGGTTTGCTGCAGAGCCGCAGCGGCTGCTAAACTCACAAGAACCACTGGACCACTGTTTGCTGCTGCCTTGCAACCGATGCCTCCAGCAGCAGCAGCAGCAGCAGCAGCAAACAGATTCACCGCCAGCTGACGGAATGCACAGTGCTGCTGCAGGGCCGGTTGCTGCTGCTTCTGAGATGCAACCGTATGCACCGCAGGACGATGGAAGCAGCAGCACGAGCAGCAGCAGCAGCAAGAGCAGCAGCAGCAGCACGAGCAGCAGCAGCAGGCTCTCCAACTGCCGCCGCTTCCTTGCTCGTCATGTGGGGGGTTTGCTGCTGCTGCTCTCACGAACGCCTCCGTCGGTGCTGCTGCAGCTGCAGCAGCTGCTCAAGGCTTGCAGGGAGTTAGGCCAGCTACTATTCCTGCAGCAGCAACAGCAGCAGCTGCAGCCGCAGCAGCAAAAGCAGCAGAAGCACGGAGCTGCCCTTCACCTCAACACGGAACAGAGACAGGCAGAGCAGCAGCTACAGCAACTGCAGCAGCAGATTGCTGCATGCAGCTGCCTCTCTCTCCCTCCATCTGAACTCCTTGAAGGTCTGGCAGCAGCAGCAGCAGCAGCAGCAACAGCAGCAAAAGCAGCAAAAGCAAAAGCAGCAACAGCAACAGCAGCAACAGCAGCAACAGCAGCAACAGAAGCAGCAATCACTGCTTCTCAGCTTGAACAGAAGATAGCCGGGTTTACAAGGCAAGGAAGTATACCCCATTCGGTTGAACAAATGCAGCAACAGCAGCAGCAGCAGCAGCAGCAACTCAAACATGCAGCAGCAAGAAGCAGCACGGGACAGCAAGCAGAAGCCCTTGTGCTGCAGCAGTTCCTTGACTGTCTGCAGGGTAGGCTTGCATTGTACGTTCATGCAGAAAACAGCAGCAGCAGCAGCAGCAGACACTGGCGTTTGGAAGGCTGTCTTGTACGCATTGTTGATGTGCGGGGACAGCAGCAGAAGCTGATTGCAGAAGAAGCAGCACTTTTGCTGCTGCAGCGCCTCGGGTGCTCGGTTCAAAAGGGCCTCTCCTTTCCTCTCCAGCAGCAGCAGCAGCAGCAGCAGCAGCAGGCGCTGTCAAAGCAACCGCCGCATGCAAATCAAACAGGCCTATTGAGGAGGAGGCCCATCCGAGGTTCTCCTGCTGCTGACAGCGGCAGCAGCAGCACCAACCTGCAGCAGCAACTGCAGCAGCAGCAACAGCAGCAGCAGCAGCAGCCGCGGAAGGATGGAGCTGGTAGAGAGCCCTTGACACCAACGAAGCAGCAGCAGCAGCAGCCACACTCCCCAGTTCCTGCTCGTAGAAACAGCAGCGGCAGCAGCAGCAGCAGCAGCAGCAGGCAACATGTGCAGCAGCAGCAAGCAGAGATATATGATGGCGACGACATCAGAGCGCCGTAAGCAAAACATCTGCTGCTGTTTCGCCACGCCTTTAACGCCTTCCTGAACCCTTTTGCTGCTGCTGCTTCACTGAATATTCCTGCTGCTGCGATTGCTGCTGCTGCATCGAACATTCGTGCTGCTGCTGCATCGAACATTCGTGCTGCTGCTGCTAATGCTGCAGGTTTACAATCAACGTGGTGCTAGAGAGGGGAAGAGAGGAAGCAAAGGAGCAGCATAAAGGTGCTGCACAAGCAACAAAGACACTAAAGACCCTGGCGCAGCAAGGCGTTGCTGGTTAGTTGCTGCTGCTGCTGATTCTGTTGCTGCTCCAGATTGTCGTGCTGCTGCTCTTAACGCCCTTGTATAATCTTTCTGCTGCCCCTGTAGCTGTTGCTGTGCATAGTGACGCTGCTGCTGCTGTTGCTCATGCTGCTGTTGCTAACGGTGCTGCTGCTGCTGCTACTGCAGGCCTGCTGCTGCTAGAGGGCGGGGCCCCTGCTCTTGCTGCTGCAGCAGCGGGGGCCCCTCCTCCGCAGCAAAGGAAAACGACGAATCTAACAGACAGCAGCAAGAGAAGCAGCATAAAGAGCAGCAACAACAGCAGCAGCATCAGCAGCAACAGCAGCAGCAACAGCAACAGCAACAGCAACAGCAACAGCAGCACCAGCAGCAGCGCTCGAAGGTCTCTTCCAGTGGATTGGTTTGCTGCTGAATCGCCAGGCACAGCGCCAGTGGCAGTTAAAGCAGCGAATGCAGCAGCAGCAACAGCTGCAGCAACAGCAGCAACAGCAGCAGCAGCAGCAGCTGCTGCTGCTGCTAGAGGGGTATCAATAGGCACAGAAGCAATCGCTTCCTTTGCCTTCGGTCTCTTTAACTTAGCAGCAGATGGTTTGAAAGAAGAGCAGCAGCAGCAGCAGCACCCTGGGGCTGCACTCACAGCCAAGCAACAGCAGCAGCAGCAACAGCAAGTGCAGCAGAAGGAGCAACTGCAACAGAAAGAGCAACGGCAGCAGCAGCAACAGCAGCAGCAGCAGCCTCCGCTGTTGCTGACTCAACAGCAACAAGTGATGCAGCAGCAGCTGCAGCAGAGACAGCAACCACTGAGGCAGAAACCAGGGCAACAGCAGCAGCAACTGCAACAGCAGCAAGGACTGCAGCAGCAGCAAGGACTGCAGCAGCAGCAAGGACTGCAGCAGCAGCAAGGACAGCAGCAACACCCGCAGCAGCCACAACAACAGCACCAGAAGCAGCAGCAGCAGCAGGACCAGGACCAGCAGCAGCAACAAGAGCAGCAACTACAACAACAGCAACAGCAGCCGCAACAACAGCAACAACAGCAGCAGCTGCAGCAACAACAACAGCAGCAGCTGCTGCAGCAAGACCAACAGCAGCAGCAGCAGCAGCAGCAAGGGGGGGCCGATGAGTTGAAGTATGCAGTAAGCCTGAAGACAGCAGCAACGCCTCCGCTTCTGTCTCCTTCTGTCTCTGCCTCTCTTCCCTCTAAACCTCAGAAGCAAAATGATTCATTTTTTCTCAAGCTAGCTGCACACCTAAGCAGCAGCAGCAGCAGCAGCAGCAGCAGCAACAACAGCAGTCAGCAGCAGCAGGGAGCAGACACCCGAGGACCTCAGCCTTTCTGGCTGCCTCTGCAGCCAACGCGGCAGACGCTGTCTCAGGCTGCGTCTGGCGCTGCAGCAACTGCTGCTGCAGCAGCAACAGCAGCAGCAGCAGCAGCAACAGCGGCAGCAACAGCAGCAACAACAACAGCAACAACAACAACAGACAATGAGCGGCGTTGGAAGCGGGATGTTGCTGCCTCAGGGGAGCAGCAAATGATGCTGCTGCAGCAGATCCTGCAGCGCCTACGCTCAGCAGACTCAGCGCAGCAGCAGCAAGAGCAGCAGCAAGAGAAACTGCAGCAGCAACAACTACTGCCAGCACGTAGCAGCAGAAGCACCATCCACGCCCCCGCACATCATGCTGCTGATTCACCTGTAGTGCTGCAGTGGCAGCAACGCAGCAGCAACAGCAACAGCAGCAACAACAGCAGCAGCAGCAGCAGTAGCAGCAACACCATGAGGACAGGCGGTATGCAAAGTAATTATGTAGCTGCAGATCGTTCTAAGGTCCGGCGGCTGACAGCGGCTTCTGCTGTGCCTAACTACGCAGCAGCAACAGCAGCAGCAGCAGCAGCAGCAGCAGCAGGTGCTGGTGCTGGTGCTGCAGCAGCAGCACCTGCTGCTGCTGCAGTTGGAAGTATCCTGCCAACGCCATCTACCACGCTGCGCCGGTGCAGCAGCAGCAGCAGCCTTGGTGTAGCAGCAGCAGCAGCAGCAGCTACTACGAGCAGCAGCAAATGGCAGTTTGCTGCTTCACCTCTCAGCAATTCTTATTCCAAGGCAGAGTTGCTGTCTCCGTCTACAGCAGCAAAGCTGCTGCAGCTGCCTGCAGCAGGCAGCTCAGCAGAATGCAGTGTGAAGCAGCAGCAGCAGCAGCAGCAACAGCAGCAACAGCCAAAATTGTTTAAGAGAAGAAGTTTGCTGCTCTCACCCTCAGCAAGAGCAACAGGAGCAACAGCTCTTCGGCGTGACACATAAACATGTGCCAGGTCAGATAGCTGCCTCATTGCTGCTGCTGCTGCTGCAGCTGCTGCTGCTGCAGCAGCTGCTGCTGCTGCTGCACTCCACCAGGGATGGCGGAAGTTGCAGCAGTTTTTTCTCCGCAGCAGCACGGCAGCCTTTCCTGCTGCGACGAGTCAGCAACAGCCGCAGCCCCTGCTGCTGCCGCTGCAGCAGCAGCATTTTTTGCTGCTACTTGTTACTAAGGCGTGCTGTGTCTGTTTGCTGCTGGTTGTGTTATTTTGTTTTGTTTATTCCTCTCTCCAGCTTGAAAATGTATTATTAGCTATGCAGCTTCGGTTGTGCTTGCTGCGACTCCAGCAGCAGCAGCAGCAGCAGCAGGTGCAGCAGCAGCAGCAGGTGCAGCAGCAGCAGCAGCAGGTTTGCATGAGTGCCTGTGCACCCGCCAGTCTGCTTCCTGACAATCTCTAGAGCAGTATGCCTCACATTTGCATCTGCTGCATCTTTTTGTCGCCTGAGGTGTACATACACCGCATATGAGAAGAAATCCTTGCTGCTGCTGCTGCTGCTGTTGCTGCTGTTGCTCGTGCTGCTGGCTGGCTAGCTGTGCTGTTGTTGGCTGGCTGTCGGTCGTGGTGCGTGTCGCTGCAGCTTGCTGCTGCTGCTGCTGTCTGCTGCTTGCTACAGCTTCTAAGCCATAGCTGCTGCTCCTCTCTGGGGTAGCCCTAACACTCTCTGACTGGCTAGCTGTAGCTACCTGTAGCTAGCTGTAGCTAACTGTAGCTAATTGTAGCTAGCTGTATCTAAGTGTAGCTAGCTGTAGCTAGCTGTGCTGCAGCACCTTGTGTCCGCATCGCCTGCACGTGGCAGCCAAGAGATCAAATTTTGCTGTCATTGCTGCTGCTACGCCTTGCAGCGCCTGCTGCTGCTCCTTTGCCCAGCTGCTGCTGCTGCTGCTGCTGCTGCAGAAGCGATGCCGCGCTGCAGCAGCTAATGCCTCCCATTCGCCGCTGTGCTGCTCCAGCAGCGTCGCCCGCAATTCCGGTTGCTGCAGCAGCAGCAGCAACAGCAGCAGCAATGCTGGCTTCAGCATAAAAACGCAACAGCTTAAGAGTGGTCGCTTTTTCATTGGCTGGTCGTGCTGCTGCTGTCATGAATGCTGATGCTGCAGCAAGTACTGCTGCTGCTGCAGCAAATGCTGCTGCTGTTGCTGCTGCTTACGACGGAGATGAGAAGACCGGACTTCGGAGGGGCAACGAGGCCGCTGCTGCACCCTATATATAACTCCTGCAGCAGCAGCAACAGCAGCAGCAGCAGCAGTAACAGAGGCAGACTGAGTGAAACAGCAGCAGCAGCAGCAGCAAAGAGACACAGAGACCAGCAGTTGCTGCGGCAAACAGGTGCAGACAGCAGCAGCAAAAAAGAGATAAACAGCAGCAGTTGCTGCAGCAGAGACAGACAGCAGCAGCAACAGAGACAGCCAGCAGCAGCAAACAGGGACAGACAGCAGCAGTTGCTGCAGCAGAGACAGCAGCAGCAACAGAGACGAGAGGCAGCAGCAGCTGCTGCAGCAAGGACAGGCAGACTCACCTCTAAGTAGCGATGGAGATCCTTCAAAGGCGGCAGCTGATCGTACATTAATTCATTTAAATGCTTCCGCAGCTGCACGCACCAAACAATCTGCTGCTGCTGCTGTTGTTGCTGCTGCTGTTTCTGTTGTTGCTGCTGTTGCTGCAGCAGCACATTGGAAGGCAGAGGGGAGATGTTGTCTATAGACAGCAGCAAGCAGCAGCAAGAGCACATCAAACGCCAGCAGCTGCAGCTGCTGCTGCATCACCAGCCTCTACAGCAGCAGCAGCAGCAGCAGCAGCAATATCAGCAGCAGCAGCAGCAGCAGCAGTACTGGTAGCTGCAGCGAGAATGCCTCACCCTTAAAATGTTATTTTTTCTAAAGGAAGTTAATTCATACCTGAGCGGAGACCAACCACCACGCTGCACATCTGCTGCTGCTGCTGCTGCTGTTGCTGCTGCTGTTGCGGCAGCTGCTGGTGCTGCTTCCACTGCTGCTGATGCCGTCATTGCTGCTGCTGCTGCTCTCACTGCTGCTGCTGCTGCTGTCGTCGTTGCTACGGTTGCTGCTGCTGCTGCTGCGAGCAGTGTTGAAGCTCACCTCTGCCTGCAGTCTGGATCCATGAGGAGGCTGTATATCGTCAGCCAAACCTAAAGCAGCAGCAGCAGCAGCAGAAGCAGCAGCATAAAGACTTGCGTAAGCGCCGCATAGAGCAGCACCTTCTGCTGCAGCAGAAGGTGCTGTAACAGCAGCAACTGTCTCCTGATACTGCAGCAGCAGCAGGTGCAGACGCGAGGATTAGCGGCAGCAGCAGCAGCAGCAGCAATAACAGCAGCGACGACAGCAGCAACGACAACAGCAACAACAGAAGCAGCAGGAACAACAAGACCAGCAGCAGCAACCACAGCAGCAGCAACAGCAGCAGCAGCAGCTGGTTCTTTGCTTCTTGCCTGCGCCTCTGCTTTCGTTATTCGCACATCTCCGCTCTCAACGGCCCTCCATCTAAAACCCAGCAGCAGCAGCAGCAGCAGCAGCAGATGAAATGCTGAGCTAGGCATTGCAGCTGGAGTTGTTGCTGCTGCTGCTGCTGCCAGTCTTGCAGCCGTTCAGTCTCACTTACAGCAGCAGCAGCACCAACAGCAGCAGCAGCAGCAACAGCGAAATCAGTGGTATGTGGTGCAGCAGCAGCAGCAGCAGCGGCAGGCATCAGCAGCCTCAACAGCATAAGCCGCAGCAGCGGCAATAGCAGCAGAACCAGGACGAGCAACAGCAGCAGCAACAGCAGCAGCAGCAGCAGCAGCAGCAGCACTGACTGTTGGTTTTCGTAGGCCTGCATATCTCCCTTTGCATTTCGTCTCCTCCACGGCTGCACCTCCAACAGCGGTACCAAATTAAGCAGCACATCTGCACCCCACAAGCAATAACCCTGCTGCTGCTGTTGCAGCTGCTGTTGCTGCTGCTGCTGCTGCTGTCGCTGCTGCTACTGCTGTTACTGCTGCTGTAGATGCTACTGTTGCTGCTGTTGCTGCTGCTGCAGCTGCTGGTGCAGATACTACTGCTGCTCCTGCAACTGCTGCTGGTGCACCTGCTGCTGCTGCTGCTGCTGCTGCTGCACCTGCTGCACCTGCTGCTGCTGCTGCTGCTGCAGGGCTTACCGCACTGGTCTAGCAGCAAAGTGGTGATTGTCATTTGCAGGTGTCTTCGCTCTTCACAAATAAAACGCAACAGAGACAGCGCGCACATCTCAGCAGCAAATGCTGCTTCCTCCTCTTGCTGCTGCTGCAGCACATCAGCAGCAGCAGCAGCAACGGCAGCAGCAGCAGAAGCTCCTGCGGCAGCTGATTCCGTTGCTGCTGCTGCGGTATTACTCCGAGAGCTCCTGAACAAAGCCAACGCGCAAGCAACAACTAAGCTGCTGCTTCTGCTGCTGCAGCTGCTGCTGCATTGCCAGCAACAAAACAACAAAAGGAGCAACAGCAGTAGCAGCAGCAGCAAAAGCACCACGAATATTCTCAGCAGCAGCAACAACAAGCGGAACAACAGCAGCAGCTGCGGCTGCAGCAGAAGCAGCAACGACTCCCACAGAAACCAAGCTAACAGCAACAGCAACAGCAGAGGCATAACACCGCAGCAGCCAGCAGCAGCAGCAGCAGCAGCACACCGTAGCAGCATGCTCTGCAGCTTTCTGCTGCAGTATTCAACGAGGTCAGGAAGCTGCTCATCTGCTGCTGCTGCAGCAGCAGAGTGAAAGAAAAGAATTTCCAGCACCGACGCCAACAAACCCTCGTGATATATCTAAACGCAAACCCTAAACCCTAAACCCTAAACCCTAAACAACAAACAACAAACAATAAACCCTAAACTGTTATTCATAGACAATAAACAACAAACAAAAACCCTAAACCCTAAACCCTAAACCCTAAACGACTTCATCTGCAGGCAATTCGAATTGTAATAAGGCCGCTCCGCTACATGCAAATTTCCAGCAGCAGCAGCAGCAGCAACACCAACAGCAATAGAAGCAGCAGCAGCAGCAGCAGCAGCAGCAGCAGCAGCAGCAGCTGACAGGAAGATAGGCAGCGAATGTCGCTTGCATTTTGTCTTTGTTTAAAAGTGGGAGGACCTTCTCCTTCCAAACCTCAATCGATATCATTTCCTCTATCAATAACCCTACCTGCAGCAGCAGCAGCAGCAGCAGCAGCAGCACTAGCAGCAGCAGCAGCAACACTACAGCAGCAGCACTAGCAGCAGCAGCACTAACAACAGCAGCACTATCTGCAGCAGCACTATCAACAGCAACAGCAACACTACAGCAGCAGCATTAGCAGCGCTAGTAGCAGTAACACAAACAGCAGCAGCACTAGCAGCAGCTGCGGCACTAGGAGCAGCAGCACAAGCACTAGCAGCACAACAGCATCAACAGCGCTAGCAGCGCTAGCAGCAGCAGCAGCAGCAGCAGCAGACCTTTTGCATATCACAGAATATTTTCTGTGTATTTTCGGGTCCCTGGCTGATTGCTTCTTCGTGCAATGCAGCAGACAGTCTCTCCAGCTGAGCCTGCTGATGCAGCCACCTGTGCATACACCTCAGATACTCTGCTGCTGCTGCTGCTGCTGCTGCTGCTGCTGTGGCTG